GCTTCGGCGGGTTGGCCTCGGCACTGGAGCGATGGCGTATTTGATCCATCAATCCAGACCACCCGGTGTGTGGTTGCGGGTGGTGCCTCCTTGATTTGTCGGGGAGGCGATGATAAGTCCTTTGAAGCTGGCCTAAAACGCTGTATGTTCGGTACGGGAGCGCCGGACAGTGGGGGTACCATGGGGTACACAACCAACCCTACGAAAACAAGAAGCTCCCACCAAACCTCTTCTCTGTCTGAATCTCTCTCTGTCTCTCTGTCGTCTCACTCTACGTCCCGCCCCTCAAAGAGCTTCGTACTGGGTGCTCCGACCCAGCTGCCTGAGCTTTGGGGTCCTACTGGGTCCCCCGGCGAACGCTTGGGTCGCTGACGGGATTAACCCCAGGTACCTGATAGCACCGGTTCCCATCCCGAACACCGAAGTAAAGCAGGAGGCCTCCCCATTAAGACTGGGGAGGGGGTGTAGAGTTCAAATTTTTTCTTTTCCCTTTCAAATTTCTCGGTTAATACTCGTTTGGTTTCCTTATACGGGGTAGTAGGCGGGCTCATTCCAAAGATAGTAATTAAAATTGTGTATGAAACAAAATATATAGACCCGAGCGAGGTGGCCGGTGTTGGTACTAGCCGTGCCGAGCTGTGGCCTGCACCGCCCGCCGCCGAGCCCGAGCTGGCCCAATGAGTGCCCCGGGCCGGGCCGAATCGGGAGGTATTGTTGCGCGATTCCGCGCCGTGGCAGGCGGGGAGGGATTGTCAATGTTGCGCGCAGGCCGTCGCGAGCGAGGAGGGGGTGCCATAGTTTACGCCCGGTTCCGCTGGCGCTGTACCGAGGAGGGATTGTCGAATTCCGCGCAGGCTGCGCCTCATTGCCAGACACACGCACCAGCCCGCCCCGGCAGCCAGCCCCTATTATATTGTTTAGGATACGCGCTTCGTTTCTGGACTCGAGAGTAAAAGCACGCTGACACCTTCATGTGTATAGTAGTTTTAAGTATGTTTCAAGTGTGAAGGTATCATCTGCTAAAAACAGGGTTGCTCCTGAATTCGAACCCTGGACCTCCTTCACCGTCAGCAGGAGTTATAACCCTAGACCGAGAGGCGCCGCTTGCTAGAGGCTCAAAACAGAATGTCATTCAGTCCTGCAGTGGTCTTGTAATGGCAATGATGCACGCGCATCCGCCAACGAACAAAAAAGGAAAACGAAACAAAAAGAAACGTGCTCGACCGGGATTTGAACCCGCGACCCCAAGCACCCGAAGCAGGAATCATACCCCAGGACCTAGAGGCCGTGCACGCGCATCGCTCGCTGCGACACAGAAACATACTTTCGGGGAAGGGCGCACGTGGTGGTTACGACGGCTTGGTCGTGACACGGCCAACCCCGCCCGGCCCAGCCAGCCCGCCCGCTCTCACACTCTCGCGACACATTCCCTTGCCAGTCACGGCGCCGCGGCGAGGCGGGGCGGGGCGGGGCGGGGCGGGGCGGGGTGAGGCGACACGATGGCGTGGTGCACCATCCCGAAACCCGAGGCGCTAGCAGCGCGGCGTGCGCAACAGGGCTGCAGAGGCCGTCATGGCAGAGGCCCTGGAGCGCCCGCCAAGTCGGGGGTAGGCAGCCCGCGTGGCGCCCAGAGCGGCGGGACTGCCTATCCTGGACCCGACGGGCGCTCTGCTTGCTGGCGGTGTAGCTGCAGCTCAGAGGACTCCAGCGGAGGACCCTGGGGGGAGTGGCCGCAACAATCGCCGATTATTTACGAAAAGAAAACGACTCTCGAAGGGCAAGTGGGGGAGTGTGTGGGCAGGGCGGGACTCCCCTCGCGGGGCCGCGCCGCCAGGCCGGCCGAAGGGGCCAAAAGGGGCCCCAAAGCGCGCCGCGTATGACGGCACGGTCTCGGCTGGTCTCGGCCCGCGCGGCGCGGTCGTCGTATCGCGACGTTTTATTGTCATGCCGCCCTTGACGGCCTCGATGGCCTTGAAGGGCTCGAAGGGCCCCAAGAGCTCCGAGGTGGCGAGATAGGCCGTCCTTGATCACTCCGATCCGAATTAACCATCCGCTTTCTGGGGCCGCACCGCCGTATCGATGCCCCGGGCCAGCGAGCCGGCCAGTCAGCCAGGCAGCCAGCCAGACAGCCCCGCCTCCTCGAAGTCTGAAATAATAATGATTCCCGATGGGTCGCTTCTCTGCCGCTCCCGGCGCCTCAGAGCCGCCGCGCCGTGCCGTGCCGTGCCGCGCCGTGCCGCGCCGTGGCCCACTCGCCGCCCGCCCGGCACCAGGATCAACTGTCATCGGGGAATATCAGATCAGGCTGGGAGAGCTGAGGAGCCCGCCCGTGCGTTCACTCCGTTCACTCGCCGCGTTCGCGAGTGCCATCATGACCAGCGTCATCAAGGCCGCTTTCACGCTAGTGCTGTGCAGCATGCGTTCATTCCCCCCTCGCGTTCGTTCGCGACGGCACTGGACCACGCTAGTGCTGTGCTGCTCCAGCTCGCAGGGTGTCTGGCGTTGCCGCTAGCTGGACAAGGCTCTGGGCTCTCTCTCCTCCCCGTCCTCTCCGCTCCTCGCGACACGAGGGCCCTTTATCCGCCCTTCCACATACCTCGTTTAGCGCTAGTCCCTGGCCGCCAGGCCGTGGCCCACGAGCGGCCTCCGCCCAGCCCACCGTAAACCGAAGCGACAAGTTCCACGGGCCGGGCTACGCTCCGCATTGCTGGCTTTGCTGCCCGCCCGGCCGATCGCCCGTCGCGGCCAGTCGCGGCCCGCGGACCGGAAATGGCGGCCCACGGCCACTTCCGGCGAATCTGTGGCTTTCCGGGCAATCTCTCGACGAACCCCGCCGCCAGAGCGGCCGACGGGCTTCACATTCCTCCCCCCCCCCTCCGAAAACAAAACGAGAACAGACAACAACGCAACAAAAAGGCCGGCCGTCCCGGGGTTTCACCTTCCGTTGTTGGCCTCGACACCGCCGCCTCTCCCAACGCCGTTTACGTGTGGTCGGCCCGGCCAGCCCGGCGGGCCCAAAGCGACGCGCGCTGTAACAGGTCTAATTCCGTGTGGCCCACATCCACGCCGCAGGCGTGATGTGGCGGGGCGTGGCGTGGCGTGGCGGGGGAGATAAGTAAATAAAAATAACGCCCTAATGAACTGGCGGCTATTCCCTCCTTGCTCGGAGGGCCCAGAGCCCAGGCCCCGGGCGCAGGTCCAGGCCGGGGTGCCGAAAGGGCGCTTCTCTGCCTCGCCTGGCCTCGCCTGGCCTCACCCGGCCTTGCCGATTCGCGCAGCGACAGAGAGGCAGAATTTTGGGCCGCGAGTCGAGGCGTTAGCGTGTTATTGTCAAACGCGAGCTTGAGGTTAATTTCGCATAAGTCTCCCCTGAATAAAGCAACAACAACAACAACAACAACAAAAACAGCAGCCAAACAAAAACCGATTTGCAAGTAGATGTTCGCGGTGACACTTGGTCGGCCGGTCGGGCTGACGACAGGCAGGCATGGGGGGGGGGGGCTCCGGGAGGCGGCGGCAGGCAGGGCAGCCAAGGGCAGCAGTGACAAACAGCAAAAGCGATTAAGGCCCGGAACAAGAAACGGAATGAAGTCGGCGCGACAAAGCGAAAAGTTGTGATGGAAGGGGCGGATCCAAGCAACTTTTTAAGGGCGTGGCGAGGCCGCGGACGCGTGCCTCAAGGGCCTCCGGGCCTTGGGGCTGCCCTTGGGGCTGCCCTTGGGGCTGCCCTTGGGGCTGCCTGGCCAGGACAGGGCAGGGAACGGGGGGTCCCCGCGGACGGGCCAGCCTGGCCAGCCAGCCGCCAAGTGGACAGCACTCCCACTCCCAACAGCCCAACAGGTACCCGACGGACGCTGGGCTACATTCCGTCTCAGTTCGAATGCATTCCTGCTCTCGCTCTGGGGAAATTTCGGTCCCGCGTTGCTATTTTCGCGGCCGCCATCCGCGACCTCCGCGGCGAAGTGAGACGACGGCGAGAGGGCGCCGCTATTCATACCTTTCCAGCAGTGCGCCGCCGCGAGGCCGGCGAAGCGCGACTACGCGAGACAGCGCCGCGCTCACCAACACCAACCACCAAACGTCGCCGAGGTGTCTCCCAACTCACCTGAAAGAGAAAGTTTTAATTAGTCCTCGAGGACACGCAGCAGCAGTGCCGCCAGCCAGCGTACCGGCAAGAGAGCGGACTGATTCCGAAGAGGCGTTTCGCCGCCCCGTGAGCGCCAGGCGCCACGAGTGCGAGAGAGACAGAGCGACGAAACGACTCCGCGGAATCGCTCGGCAGCGAGCACGGAGTGGCACGGAGAGCGACGCGCACGCAAAAAAATATTTTTCAGATCAGTGCTAAGCGATTTAGTGGCGATTCGGAGCAGCAGAGCTAAAAAATTAGCACAGGTGCTAAATAATGTAGCTGGAGGCCAATATGATTTAGTTGGGGAGTTCGCGATTAGCAACAGAGTTAAAATGTTAGCACTACGATTAAAATTTTAGTTGGGCCTACACAGCTAACAGTTTTAGCACCCGTGCTAATTTTTTAGGTGGCCCTCGAATTATTTTTTTGCGTGCGTAACGGGAAAAAGCGCGCGACATTTCGAATTGGAACGGCGCGGCAGATTGAAAGGCAACTGGCGGCCAGGCACAGCAGCCAGCCAGCCAGCCCACCGGCCAGGCATTGGCCAATTACTTGTCCGATAGCGCGGTGACCTTGGCGTCCTTATTTGGCGGAGATCGCCACCGAGGACTCCGGGACTCCGAGAAGGACGTCTCCTTAAACTCTGACATTATTACGGAAGCCCCGATGGCGGGCCGCGACACAATGCGGCGGCAACTCACCTGGCGGGACGGACCGAGCTGGCGGCCTGGAGAGCCGCGGCCGCCGAGACTTACCTGAACGGGCTGGGCTCCACGTGGCGAGGCGGGCCGAGGGAAACCATAAAAAAGAAATCCTCTGCAAACTTGCCGCCGCGCTGGAAGCATTTTTTGCTCGAAACAAGACGGCTCACCTGCTGCCGTTGGGGAAGGACAGCGGGACGGAGTGGACGACGCGCAGGGGTTCCTTCATCATGCGGCTCAGGTTGAAGCCCGGCACCGCCGCCGTGCCCGTCTCGTCCTTCTTGGAGCGCCGCTGCGACCGGCGGCGCGCGTGCGTCGTGAACACGCGCCGCAGCTTGCCGACGGGCAGGGCCTCCTTGTCCTCCTCGGCCAGCGTGGACAGGTCCAGCGTGGAGCCGGACTTGCACAGCGGCGACTGCATCATCTTCTTGATGAGGGTGTTGTTGGCCACCTGGCGGTGCGTCTCGCTCATGGTGGCGGCCGTTCTACTCTTCAGTTCCCGACGGCGTCCTGGTGGCCGTCCCGGTGGCCGCCCTTGTCGGCCTTCTTAAGCGTAATGGGGTGATATGTGTCTCGATATGGACGGAGAGGGGTGGGGGTGGGGGTGGGGCCGGCTTGTCACGGCAGTCCACCCCCGCCCGGGGCGCGCCGGCACGCCATCCTGGACGTCCTGGAACACAACGAGGGTTACAACCACCTAGCTCTCGCGGGCAAAGAGGGCGGGCCCTGGCCCTGGGCCCTCGGCGGGCTGGCATGGCGGTTTCCATTTCGGCCGGACCTAGAGGCCTGGGCGGTGCTGCGCGGTGCTGCGCGGCCCGCGAGGCGCGCATGGCGGGGATTCCCCTTCCCCTACCCATCCCTGAGCGCAGCGCGCCGCAAATTTTTCGGCGTTTTCCGCGTTTCAAACTCCACAAAGGCCGGCAGCGCAAAGCGTAAAGCACTTTGGCAAACGGCACGGACGGAATCCCCGGCGCGGGTAGTAGTTGTGCATACCCGATGCCCCCCCTCCCCTTTCCCCGCACCGCTCCGCCCCGTTCCGCCCGGCCAAGTAATTCCGTTGGCGAGGCTCCTTTCACGGGTACTTATTCGAGACCTGTCTCGAACAGGAGAGCCAAAAAAGGCTGAAAAAACGGACTGATTTGCAGAGCGACTGTTTCCGCCACCTGTCGGCCCGCCTGTCGGCCTGTCGGTGGTGGCCGCCTTGCTGAGCGGCTGACGGCTGGACGGCGTGACGGCGGCTTGGTGGCAACCGTTTCGGTCCCCGTCGCGATAATAACCATTCCGCCGTTCCGCCATTTCCATTTTCATTTCGGATCGCGTACTCTCGGGACGCTGCTTTGTTGTCGGCGCGCTCTCTCGACTCGCTGGCTCCCCGCAGTCCGCGCCCCGGGCACGGGCGGGGCCCACGCCCACGTCGTGAGCCACGCGTTTTGGGCCCCGTTGTCCGGGGCCGCCGGGGCCGGCTCCTCCCAGAGCACACAGTGATTTCGCCGTACACACACGCTGCGCTAAGAGCACCCCCAGCGAGGCTGCCCTACCCGGCCGCCGGGCCGCCAGCCCCGAGCAAGTATTTATCGGACGCTCTGGGCCGACGGCCACCCAGCCAGGGTCAACAAGCAGCCCCCGGGGAGCAGCGGCGTAGCACGGCGTAGCCGGGGCGCAGTCGGCCCGCACAGTGGGCCAGAAGACCGATGGAGGCGGCCAAAATTCCGGACGCGTTTTGAATTCCAGAGTCGCTAAATGGGACTCGAACCAAGCGTGTGACCCCACCAATGGATTGGTCTTCGAACGAGGAATCCATTGGTGGGGTCACACGCTCCCTTCGAGTCCTGTTTTGCGACTCTGGAGCTCAAAACGCGTCTAGAGTTTTGGCCGGCCCCCACTGTGCAGTGTCGTAGGCAGGGTGGCGTCGGCAGAGTGCGCTTCCTGACTTGAAGCCGCACCAGCGGCGTAGCTAGAGCGTGGCTGGGCCACGGCTGGGCCGAGCGCCGCCTCCAGGGCCCTGCCTCATCCGTGGAGGCGTTGCGTTCCCTTTCATCCCGCCGCCTTCTTCGCGCCACCGGCTGTGAAAGGCGACTTAATGCGCGACCTTTGCTCCGGGAGGTAAAAAAGTAAGAAAATAAGGGCGGCACGCACAGCGGAGTGCGGGGGAGGGGGGGAGGGGGTCGCAGCGTGGAGTCGCAGAATGTAGGGCGAGGGGCGGAAGGGGCGGATCCGGGCGGGTCCCCGTGGAACTGCGAATGCACGACTAAACGGGGCAACAGCCAAACAGCTTTCAATATAGCGCGCGCGTGTGTGTGAGTGTGTGCGTGTAAGTGTGCGCGTGTGTGATGCGTGCGTCTGTGTGTGGAGCGGGACGCGCAGAGTGGCAGAGAATGGCAGAGTTAAGGATGAGGGACGAGAGGGGGTGTCCTCTGGCGGTGGGACGGACGGACAGACGGTCGGTCGGATAGGGTAGAGAGATAGCAACAGCAGCAACAGCAGCGGGAAGCCGTGCACTTGCAGCCTCATCAATCGGTGATCAGACGGCTCAAACTAGCTTGTCCGAGCTTGTCCGCCCGACCACGCCGCCGGCGGACAAAACCGACAACGCACTCCCAGTGGAGTCAAAGGGCCGTGGCGCGGCGGGGCGCGGCCAGGACGAGGCAGGTCGACACAGCAGCGCCGCACGTCGCGCTCACCGCCGTCACCGGCCAGAAGACCGGTGGAAGTGAGCAAAACCCCGGACGTGCTTTGAGCTCCAGAGTCGCTAAATGGGGCTCGAACCGAACGAACGGTGACCCCATCAATGGATTGCTCTCCGAACGAGGGATTCGTTGGTGGGGTCACACGCTCGTTTTAAGTCCTGCTTAGCGACTCGGGAGCTCAAAACGCGTCCTATAGAGCTATAGGCGCCGGTCTGCTGGCCCCACAGTGCGACGAGGGCAGACGAGGGCCTCGCCGGCCCGGCCGCCTAATAGAGCCCGGACACGGAGCCCATTCATTTTTGCACGTATTAGCGCGAGAGAGGCAGCGAGCCCATTCGGCTTTCGTCACGGAAACGACCCTCATTCATCCGATGTGTCCCGTCTGTAATGGCCGGGCTGGGCCGCACAAAGAGGATCAACAGCCCGGCAACCAGGCGGCCCCGCCCCGCCCCGCCCCGCCCCGCCAGCTTTGTCATGGCATAACGGGGCCTAAGCCGGTGCTTGCTGCCACGGCATTACAAGGCTTCCAATCGGTCGGACGAGCCGCCGCCGTTTTTACCGCCCTAATTTGGGTCGCGTTCGCAGTGGGCCAGAGGGCCGAAATTCTGGAAGCGTTTTGAGCTCCAGAGTCATCGTTAGACTGTTTCTCCATGGATGAGTCCCGCCTGCAAGCGGTTTGCCACGCATCAGAAACGGTCCCGTCCGCAGTCCATGTGGCGGTCCGCAAGCAGAAGTTCTCCTTCCCTCAAACAACAAGGCCCTGTAGAACATGGGCCGACCCTCGGCAACAGGGATTGAGGGACGGCCCCTGCGCGATGCGGCGCGATGCTACGCTATGCGCAACAAACTTTTGCCCGGGGTGCGGCTGGCCCGGCGGCCTGGCCCGGGGGCCTGGCGCGCGCCGCCCAGAAGAGTGAGCAAAGCATCTCGGAAAAAGTGGCCCGCCGCGGGCACTGCAAACAGGGCAGCAGCAGACAGCGCATTCCGTGGACGCCGCGCCACGCCGCGCGTACAGTTCCAGACCCAGCTCTGCCACCAGGCACCAGGCAGCCAACCAGGCGGCAGGCCAGCCAGCCAGCCGGCCACTGATCCTGGCAGCGGACCAAATATTCCCTCGCATCCTGATTTGGACGGGCGGCTAGCTCTCGCGACCCCCAGATGCGCCTAGGCCCGTGCACGCCGTCTGCTCCGTATGTGGGCCAGTCGCCGGCCGCCCTAGAGCTCAGCAGCGCGTCGCCCTGGACGAGCGAGAGCCACCCCGCGCACAATCCCTGGAATTGCCAACTGCGCCAAAAATTGGTTCCCACTGGACCCCGAGTCCACCCCTTTGCAGTCCGACCGCCCGCCCGTCCGTCCGTCCGTCCGACAGCCGCGGATCCCAGTATCGGGTATTCCGACCAGTGACTCCATCGGGCGCGGCCGGCCGGAACGGAGGGGACGGGAGGGGAGGGGAGGGAAGACGCGGACGTGGGTCACGGGCTCGACCAGATAAGGCAGCCGGCGGAAGGCACAATTAGCTCTCGTCCTTCGGAGCCTTCGGAGCCTTCGGTTCGGCCAGCCTTCGGAAGCCAATCGGCATGACTTCGGGAAGACTTCGGTTCGTCGCCACTGGAAATAGAGGAGATTCTGTAAATGGGCGAGTATCCGCTGAATCAGGACGGGCCACCCTCGGGCCGCCCCCTTCGGCCGCCTCGGGCAGTGTAGGGCAGCGCCGGGCAGCGCGGAGAAAATTGCCTCCCCGGCCTGATTTATGAATGTCCGCACCGTGCGCGAGGGCGGAGGGGCGTGGCGCGGGGAGGGGGTTGAAGGACCCCGGGGACGGGTCAGCAAGACACCCTCATACCTGGCCATGCCCGAGCCATGCCCGAGCCATGCACCCCTTTTTCAAACTGTCACCGCAACGGGCTGACGGCGCAGCTGGCTTGGCGAGGGGGTGTAGGAGGCGAACTGTACCCGTCGGCGCAGAGTACCCCCGGGTGCACAACGCCTAGGGCCATAGTACCCTGGGGTACATGACGACTAGGTTCAATGTACCCAGGGGTACAAAGCGCCTAGTTGCTAGGCGAATTGTACCCCGGGTACAATGCGGATAGGCGAAATGTACCCCGGGGTACATTTTGCCTAGGCTTATTGTATCCCCCGCCGGTCGGAGGAGGATGCACGTCGCCTAGGCGCAATGCATCCCCCCCGGATACAAAGAGCCTAGGCGAGGAGTATCCCCTCGGCCGGCCGGAGGGGGATACAAAAAGCCTAGGCGCAATGCATCCCCCCCCCTGGATACAAAAATCGAAAAAAAAGAAGAAAAAAGGGGGGCCCTTCTCCCACCTCCGAGATCGGAGGGCCGCCTGCAACTTCGGTGGATCGGGGGAACCGGTGCTTTACAGGCGGCGACCCCAGGGGTTCTCGTCTGTATATGGGCCGGGCTTGAAGGGCGGGTTTGACAGTCTCTCTCTGCCTTGAGAGCCTTTGCTTTTCGCGGGGTGGTCTGTACCAAATGTACACCCGCTGTCCGGCGCTCTCTACCAAACATACAGCTTGTTTAAGGGCCAGCTTCAAAGGACTTATCATCTCCTCCCGACGAATCAGGAGGACCCACCCGCGACCAATTACGGGTGGCTGGATTGACGGATCAAATACTCCGTCGCTCCAGTGCCGAGGCCAACCCGCCGAAGCGCAGTTGCTTTTTAGACACCCCAGCGAAGTGGCCAGGTGAATGTGACTCTGACCACTACGCTATCAAGCTTGTACGTCTGGCGTCGTGTTGGACAACGGGTTTGAGTTGCAGTGGAAGGAAGCCAGTCGAAAAATGTAATGAAATGA